GCGTCACCTCTGACCAAAGCATGCCAAGCAGAAGGAAGTCTGAAGCTATAGGATCTGACAAATTAGCATCTTGTGGATCAGTGTTACAGCTGCATTTTTTTTTTCTGGTTTACATTTCAAAAAACTAAATCAACAACTCATGAGTGACAGAAACTCTTTTTCTTTCTCCTGGAATAATTGAGCCTCATACTATCCTCAGTATCAGGCGAACAGCAAGCGTAGCGTTGATTTATGATTTCAAGAGACTGGCCTATGTGTGTTTCAGAAATAGGAGCTGCTTGTTTCAGGGACAGTGCACTCGCTGACTGACTGCTTGCCTGCCTGTCAGTCTGCGCAGTAAATAGGTCAGTGTTTTATGTGAGTGAAGAATCTGAAATGTCTGGGCCTCCATGAATCTGCCATCTTTAGCTGTCTTACGGCTCGCAGGCTGTCAGGTGATTAGCCAAATAACCACAAGATAGAGTCGTTTTCTCTTGCATTTTGCCTCAGATGCTCACTGTTGCTTGATCACCACAGACTAAGAGTTTCAACTACATCGTTCAGCCGCACTGTACTCCAATGTTCGCTGAAATTATCATATTTATGAGCAAATCGCTACCTTCACTGTTTTATGTAAGTGTTCTGTGCTGGTTCTAAGGAGGACAGGAGAATCCATGAAGTACAGCGTAAAGCTATCTCAAAACCTCACGAAAAAATATCACTTTCATATTCAAACGAGTCATAACCTCCTGCCACCGCGTCATCATTTGATGTTGCAGCCATTGATTTTTTTCTTTCCCACTGTATTGAAACCTGATTGATCATATCCCAGTGACTGTTGTCAGGTCTATCTTTTGCCTCGTGCGCATGTAGCTGAACCCACTTTTGTGTGTAACTATGAAAGCTGTGGGACAAACTGAGTTCAATGTGTTCACACGATTACGCTAATGGATTAACAGAGGCATCAGTCACAGCTGCATCAGTCTCAACAGGACAGAATCACTTGTATGTGTCTTTATAATGAACTCAAGGCAATGTGGATACATGTATAAAGGATTACAGTGTGTAAGATTTGAATGTTTCTTATGCAGCTGAGCTTTAAACTGAAACAGTTACAGTAATGGTCTTTCTCTCAGTGAAGGACTTCTGGGGATATGAATAAAGTTTTTATTTATTTAAGACAAACAATTGTGGTAGAGTTCACATTGTTTTTAAGAAATGATTTACTGTGAGCTACCTTATATTAGTCATTGATTGAATATAAAGATGGATGACATGACAGCTCCCCAAAAGTGAAGCAGAAGTGCCTCAATCGCCCCCTGGTGGCTGGCAGCAGTATAAGTCATGAACCAACTAGTTGGACTAGTTCTTATAACACAAGTGTTCATGTTTGAGACTGACTTGCGATTGACTGTTTCTCCCGATCACTACTGTGGAGACTCTGCTGCACATGATGTCATCGACACAAAATGGCAGCGTTTATTCTTTGGTATTTTGGCTTCATTTCTGGATAGTAAGAAGAAGTAGAGACTCGTCGTCCACCTTTATATAAAGCCTATGATATCTGCTAACAAAGGCTAATTTATGCTCAACATCATGTACTGAATCTGTATTCATTTTAGATACGGACGAAACAGAGCACTACCACTGGAAGTTATGGGGGGGGGGGGCAGTAGCCATTAATTCAAGTGAGACAACCATAGGACATGAGGAGAACATTTCAACAAAATGGCGTAACTTTTTGAAGAGAGACTTCAAGAGTTGGAAGAGGCATCTATATGATGTACCTTTGCAAATGGAGATACAGCCATCGTCATGTTTGTTGTGGTTAGAAATCCTGTGCTGTCCTCAAGCTGATGTTTTGCTTATCAAAGTGTCAACTGTGTGCAGTGACAGATACATCCAGTGAAATGGACTCTTTTTGCATGCAATCAGCATAAATAGTTCAGTTTTGTTTCAGTGTCATTATGTTGATAAATTAATCTCGGTCCATAACTGGCAGTTCAATTGAACCTTTATAAAGCGATTGGAAGCCATTGTGTGCCAGCATGGTGAAAACAGACAGCTCAACCCTGGTCAGTTCCACACAGAACTTCCTCCTGTATCTAGGTGCTATAGAATTAACACTTAAAGGTAAATAATCCTCATGTCTTCCCTGTTACCATCACAGCTTCCGTTTGCCCCCCCTGGGGTGTTACGATAGCGATGTTGTCAGCGACTCCCAGTTGCTGTCGCATGTCAGCACTGTGACACTCCTTTGTAAACACTCCCTTGTAAACAGCCGAGTTCCTCCAGGTTTTGTTGTGACTGACACGCCCAACCTCCAGCCTCAGATAACCTATTCGCTGCAGATGTCTAGACTAATACCACCACCACCAGTATATCCCATAAGACCCTGCAAATACATCAGGAAAACAATCTGATAAATGTATTAGCATATTATGACCATAAAGTGTGTCTGTGTAGCTGTGTGGTAGCTCTACAGAAAAAGAGGGCCCCCCCAGCTAAGATGGATTTACATATACAGTAACTTTTATTTATGAGTATCGTGAACCAATCTGGAGTAAGTCACCCTTTTCATAAATCTTTTGCAGACAGATTAATTCAGTTGTTTCCTGTGGCTACAAATGATTTGATCTAAATTTAAAAAAGGATGAGATGGTTTTTGGGAACAGTTTTTATTTTGTTACACATTTCACTCTTGTTGCCACTCTCTGGCACTCTTTGCGCAACGTGCTGCATCTTGATTTAGGTAAGAAATGAAGTTCCATCCAGCAAGCTCTCATACTGAAGGACATCATCGTTTCTGCTGCTGAATCACAAATCACATCCTGCAGTGATTGTTGAATAGTTAATCTCGTTTAAAAGACCTCAGTGTTGAATACTCCAGCGAAGTGAAAATGAATCCTTCTTATTCTCCTCATGTGAGAGCAGAAAGGAACAAAAACAGTCCAACTGATATCAAACATCAAGATTATAAAATCTCAGGCCAATGTTTGATCTTCAAGACTTTTTCCACATGATAAGAATTGTCAAGTATTTTGTCGTCTGGTTCATATAACATGAAAAAAGCCTTTTGACACATTATAGCACACACATAATTTGTATTTGATGGGAAGAATTGTTTTATATATATATATTTATATATTTTTTATATATATATCGTTGATGTTTTGTTCGATAATTTCCCCAAAATACAATAATTTTAAACCTATACATTTCCCAATTCAGCAATGCTGAGGAGATAAGGAAAAGACAGAATTGAAGTTAAATTTCTTCAGACTTTTATCAAAGATGAAGACAGTAATCATATCCACCAGTTATTTTGTGTCAGCACGGTATGATCTACAGCCATAAAGCCGCTGCAGAGTTGTAAAGACGATTAATGCCTTCTTAGGGACTCTTAGTATCCGTTCGGGTTGCTCTGGTCAAACTGTTTCATGAGGAAGTGACACTTTACTGAGAAATGAAGAGGAAAAGTGTATATATTAAGATTTGGGGAAGCTGTGGGGAAAGCCCAGTCGTCTTGTGTAATAATGCTGTTCCTTTCGACACATCTGATTAAATCATGGCATCATGCTACATCTTTCTGCTATAATCAAATTCCATCCATCAAAACCAGTTCTTTTGGTTAACGAACAAAGAGAAGGGTGTAACCAACTTGAGCTAGTCTTGTGCAGGCTGCGATGGTTATGTAAAATTGTAAGGGCCTCTGTGAAGGCACATGTGTAATTTGTCAGAGGCAGTGCACGCTGTGTAAGAGCTGAGGAAGGCTCTTTGTTTGCTAATGTAGGTCTACACTAAAGGGGCAGCCGGGATGGCCCGCTTTCTGGGACGGTCGTGCTGCACATCACATGATGGGCTTGGCCTCGGGGTGAGGCAGTGAAGGAGTCCTAAGATGTTGGTGGGACGGGGAGATAGAAGATGAGAGGATGAGTGATGGGAATATTTACTCTTGCCCGTTTCTTTTAGAATCAATCCCTGGTTACTGTTTTTCATCGGACCCCACTTCTGCACCATAACACCTCTATTCAAATAGCAAGGGAAACATGGTAGATTATTTTGCATCATAATCATCATATCTGGGTTAGGTGTTTTCTTCTAAATCTACATAATATCTACAATTCTGGTGCTATGAATATGAATACACACCTCAGACCTGTGGATAGTGTTGCTGTTGCAGGATTGCTCAATGCTACAATGCAAAAACAGGCCAAAGCTTTGAAACGTGTTGTATTTGTCTGAATATGGTTTCCATCTTACTCCAGTGCTACCGCTTTAGAAACCAGCCACAGAGAAAAGATATGCACCCCATGTGTGTTTATTACTTGTCTGTTGCCAAAATGTCACACTTTAAACTAATACCAGACGTTTTGTAAAACAATCAAAACAACAGATCTACCAGTTCTTGCTTCAGTTATCTATTATTTCACTCTAGATGTAATATCTTTGTGTTTTGGGCTGTTATTACACGTTACACTGGGCTTTCCAACCTTGTATAGATTATCTGATAGTTATAGAGCTTGCATCTGACCTAGATGTTGATAAAACATTTTAAAACTAGAATGGTACACAGTAGAGCGCATACTTCCACCAAGGACTAATGAAACCACATTTAAATACCCTAAATGTGAATTTTTATTTGGATTTTTATTTACACCAAATTATCGGTGATAATCTGATCTTGATCCTCTACAAAGTTTAATGGGTTCTTTCCTGACACATACCACATCCATCCAACAAGTTTGGTGGTAATCCATCAAGTAGTTTTTGTTTATATAGCTTGCTTATAAAACAACTAACAAACAAAAGCAAGTTAATCATGCATACAAAAAAACATGTATTTCTCTCTTTGTCCCTTGATATTATTGTATTTTGAACACTTACCTGGGCTAAGCTTTTGTCACAATATTAATTGGTTGTGTTTGGTCCACCCAAAGGAATTCTTAATCTTCCTCACCTGTCGACATCCGTACTGATCTATGATCTAACTCCTCCATCTCTCTCTTCCTCTCTCACAGGACATTGTGAGTGCCACTAAAGATGTCTGATAGTGTTGATATTGAAGAGAAACCACCAGCCCCCCCCTTGAGAATGAACAGTAGTTCCCGAGACTCTTCATTGTTGAATCACGCCTCTAAACCACTTCCAATGGCTCCTGAAGAGAAAAACAAGAAGGTCCGCCTGCGCTCCATCTTCCCTGGGGGAGACAAGAGTGAGTATCCCCTGTTCGGCTCTAAACATGAAAAAATATTAGAAATCCGCCTGTAATCAGGTTTTTGTTCGTCTCCTGCAGCAAACAAGAAGAAGGAGAAGGAGCGTCCTGAGATATCCCTACCCTCGGACTTTGAACACACCATTCATGTCGGCTTTGATGCTGTAACGGGAGAATTCACAGTGAGTATCTCCCTCACCTGACGACTGGACGTATAAACAGAAAGTGTTTTTAAAATCCTCCTCCCAGGGCAGAGATCCAGGCACACATTCTAAAATCACAACTCCCTGTAGTGATGGAGTCAACTGATGTGTTTCCCTTCCCATAAAGTTTGTAATAAAGTGACTTGAATAAACATCATGCCATCCCCTCTATCAGCTGAAATCTGCATTGAAATCCTTTCGTATTTTTCAGTAGATAACATTTTAGTTGCAGTTTGCAGTTGATGTTTTACTCTAGCAAAAGCCTGGATAAGCAGTTCTAATGTTTTTATCTTGCTTTTATGTTTTGTACCACCAGCTACTCTTAACAGGTTTACTGCAACATCTGTTAGACAGAGTTCACTGCAAAGATGTTTTACTTTTTAGAGTTTTTAATCTGAGGCCCCAGTCAGTAATATTGCATTACACACAGTATATTGGAAGAAGCATTTAAGTCTTTTATTGCATGTGCGTTATACTGTATGTAAGTGTTCCTGATATTCTTTTCCACACTTTGTATCAGTTTCCCTTGAGGAGGATGTAATGATAAAGTCAGATTAAACAAGTAAAACATGCTCACATATTCATGAACAGCTAATTTAATTTAGTAATAAAAACTTCTCTGGTATTAGAGCAGAAAAGTCTTGTCTTCTTCACTTCTCCTTTAATCCAAATTTTCAATAAGGACTGATAGGTATTGCAACCGCTTTGACTTTCAAATGAACAAGCGTCAGATCATGACATCATTAACATTGTGTTCCTTTTCCATTTGATAAACCTTGTGCCTGTGACACAAAGAGCCCTATTGCACAGTTTTTAACCAGACCACTCTGGTTAAAGGTCTCCTGTGGTTTACCGGGAAGATAAATTACTGTTTGCTCCTTGATCCCACTCAAAGTAGCATATGTTTTCCTGAGCCTAAACACCACTGCTTCTGAGATACAATCCTCAGGTGCAACAATCAAAGACAAAACGTTCATGTTGTAGATTAAACCATTAAACATTTGATCTCTGTCCCTTTTCACAGGGTATCCCCGAGCAGTGGGCGCGGCTGCTACAGACCTCGAACATCACCAAGCTGGAGCAGAAGAAGAACCCACAGGCCGTGCTGGATGTCCTGAAGTTCTACGACTCCAAAGAGACCGTCAACAACCAGAAATACATGAGCTTCACCTCCGGAGGTAAGCAAAACCAAAAACACAGATAAACATAAAAAGGTAAAAACACACATATAAAATTTTTAGCATTTGGCATCTCTACAATTATGTTTTCTCTTTTGTTACAGACAAGTCAGCACATGGCTATATAGCAGCAAACACTCTGGTGAGTTGTTTTTTTAATCTAAACTTACTTTGGTTATTGTTGCTTGTTTTTAAGTATTTTGGGAAATTTGATAATATTTGTTGATTAAAAAAAGCACCATAAACTGTTAGTTTGACAAAGTATACGCCCCTTTATACCACAGAATTACAATTTAATGCTTGGTTTTTAAAAGAATTGTGATGTTTTTAATTAAGCATGCCGCTCTTTGTTGGAGGCGGCTCCTCAGTCTGTTTTATGAGGGTTTTTATCTCTGCGCTGCAGATCTTGTCCTCTCTAGAGTGTCTGGTTATAACAGTAAAACAAACTTTACAATTACAAATCAATCCAGTCTGTGGTTCTAAGCCATTCCCCATCCCTGCTATAATTCATTCCCTGTGGAAAATCTCATACTATGGAGGGTATTTTATTTCTTTATGATTTATACAACAGTGTAATAATTTAACAGGTAAGTTACAGCATTATGTGGCTTTATATCATCGTCTTAATCCTCACAGCAATTACACCGCTCCGACTGCACCTCAGTAAATCTCTCTCACTTTACTCTCACCAACTCTGTCTGGGAATTTCGGGGATAGACTGTGGCCCTTCGAGCACATTAATTTCACACAGACTTCTCCCTCTAATTGGCAAAATGTTTGTGTTCCCCTCCGGAGCTGCACCGCTCCGACTACGCAACGCAGTGCCCTCACTCTTGCACACACGCCAATCAGTTTTGCAGCCCGTGCACGGGGAGACGGTGACTTCTGCGGGAGCTTGCCGTGGCTCATTGTTTGTTTTTCCAATCCACTTAGCCAGATTTTGAAATGCCCATAGACAGGCTTCACTGGAGGCTCAACTGCATCTAGAAGGGACTCCCACTGTGTTGACCTCATTCCTGGCTTCGACCAGAGTAATCTATGCTTTCAATGCCTCGGCCTGCTCACGCTTAGCCGGGTGAAAAAGCGGAAATCCAAGTCTGTTCAGTGATATTTGCTGCCCAGGGCAAACTACACTGGGATCAGTTCATGCAGGGCTATCGCATGAAAGAGCTCTTTGCCAGTGAAGGGCGAGCGGGTGTGGCGTTCAGTCTGGAAGGTTGAGCCCAGTGAGGGCATTTGAGAGCATCTCAGCCTCGGATTGTCACAGCGGTCCATGACTGCAGAAGTGACTCAGCTTTTGGCCGCAGTGCCACAGATATTCTCCAAAGATTTGGCCACACTGTCTGAGACAAGTACAACTGCAGGACAGGTGCCAATAATTTTGGAAGTTTTCCAGAAACAGGAACAGTCTTCCATCCTGAGCTGCGACCTCGTGCTCTCTGTCAGATTCTATCAAACACCGGCTCCTGCTAACCTGTTATACAGGTGCATGTTTGAAATCTAGTGTTTTATCTTCTTACATTCTCTTCTGTACTCATCTCTCACAGCCCTCGTCTATCCTGCTGCTAACCTTCCATCAAAGATTAAGAAAAATGATGCCCATAATGCATCAGCAATGGAATAAATGAAAGTTAGCTACTGGCTGTTATGTGAGATATGTCTTTGAGATTTAAGCCGGTCGTTCATGTTCTAGGTCGACCTAGTGCCTCAGCTTGACCTTAGCTCAGCATGCACCTGTAACAGAACGGTGGCGGCAGAGAAGACACACTGTGTTGCATCCTAATCCAACCGACTGAAAAAGGCACATTTGAATGTTAGAGTCAAGGACAGCAGTAAGAAAACTTTACTCGCTGTGTCTGATTGTCCCTTATAAGGACACGGTTACACATAATGCAGGTAAATGTCGGGACTCAAAGTTCACCAAAGTTACATTTCCTGGGAAGCTACGCTGTGGATTTGCTTTGGCACAGGAAGCAAATGTTTTATTCACCCCCTTGCTCACACAGACTGGAAGTAAACCGGAGGCAATGGTTCGCCACTGCTACATTCACGTATGTGTGTCCTTGCCCTTACGTGCAGGAAATACAGAAATTAAGATGAAAGTGGTAAAAAAGGAGCAACACATTCTCGAGAGTCGTAGTTTTAGGATCAGTTTCGTTGCCTCTCTTTAGCTGACTGGTGACTCAGTGTTTTTCTCTTCTGATTTGACATGTGAGGAGTTTTTCACTCTAAACCATCAGTTAAGTTCAATGTTTGAAACAGAGGTTCTGGATATATATTTTACTTCAGTGTTTGTCCCACCCACTGCACCCGTCTGTCAACTAACAAACACAGATCAACCGCAAGTGTTCACATAACTGCGTTTGTAACAATGACAGTTTGTTTTTCAGAGTGTGAGCTTTACCTCACGCTGCACTTGACATCTCATCTCTCGTCTGTTGTTGAAATTAGGTCTCAACAAAACTTTAAAATCCAGCACTGTTGGTGCATGGATGCCACAATTTTGAGAAACGTTTCACACAATTGTTTTGTGTGTGTTTACAGAATACAAATGTGCCTCAGTATACACAGGTAAAGATGATTTTTTTTTTTTTACAATGTCTTAATATTGTTGGGAACATCAAGTCAGTATTAAAGTTTTTGTCCTGTAATATGATTTGTCTCTTCAAATATTTGATCACTCAGTGAGATCTTAAAGTCTCGATATCAATCCTAAGACTTTCCAGTCAGCGTTTTTCAGGTTTAAAGCAGATTAACCTTTCCAAAACAATCATACATGCATATGCACAAACACAGCAGTGGAATACTGCATTAAGAGTTAGGTACATCCTTTTTATTTAGCTTGCAGACAAATTGAATATAACAACATTAGTTACACTAAATATGTTATAACTAGATAACATCGGCCAAGACCTAACAGTCCCCTAATGAAACCATATTGTAATTCACTAAACCCAGATCTGTATTTGGATCTGCAAAGATTTGCACACACTCAGAAATATCAGTCCCCTTAACATGCCTGATTTTTTTCATCAAGATCCAGGTCAACCAAAGAGTTTTTAAAAATGCCCAAGAAATTGCAAAATGAGGAGGAAACTAGGCGTGTGCAAGGACAGTCCTCAGGTGGCTGCCTCTGTCATGTCCTCTCCTCATGCTCTGTGTCAGGAGGACGATTTTGGGACGTGATGTCCATCCCTCAGTTGTAGCGAACCCCTGCCCTCCTCTCTCCCCCCTCTCCCCCCCTGAAGTCCACTTACTCTTACACACTGTGTGGGTTTTGTTTTGAGTAAATCCTCCCATTTTCAACCTTCACATTCAGAACCGGCTGCTGTCATCTGGGCCTCCTGTCAGCCTTAGAACCTGCAGCGCATTATTTGACAAGGTAACTCCTCCACATTACTTTCCACATGATGTATCTCTACATTGGCTTTTGAAGCAAAATTTCCACCATTTAATCTCCTAATTTTCTGCCAAAACTGCGAATATCTTTTCGAGGCATCATCTGTCTTGAAATTTCATGGGGGGTGTGATTGGATCTGTTTGTTTTTTAATCCACAAATGTATTTATTATCTATCTCACTCCTCTTTTTGTGAATGGACTGTGTCTGAAATGGCAGGGCAGGGGCGCATGTCACAGAGGGTTGCGATGACTGTCAAACTGCATGTATGAGCTCATACTCCTTACAAATCAACCCACATGACCAATAATGTGCCTTTAACTTCATCACCATTGTAGACACTATCGCATGGCTCTGATAAAATAACAAACGAGAAATGATTGCACTGCTTCCAGTCAGACTCTCATTTCTGTACTGCAGTCCTGGCTCGGCCCCCAGGTCAGAGGCCCACAGTATGTCTGAATGAAGGACTGGCACTTTTCCTTCAGCCAGACCCTCTCCCTTTAATCACCAGAACTAAGCTGCACTGATTCATGTATGCATGACGAAAATGGAAATGGATGAAAACGTTTCCATTCCTTAAGAGGAAGACGATCCAAGGCTAACAGAGTTTTGGATTGGGGGGGGGTTACTGGCTGAGCAACTAGGCATAATAAACATGTCTGAGGAATATTTGTCATGCTTATTAAGAAGTATCTTCCATATTGAGAGGATGTGGACAGTTCATCACCATACTGCACATTACTGCAATGTTGCGGCATGTTTTTTTTCTCCTATGGCACAGTTAAATCAGAACAGTTTTTTCCGAAGTAGAAACTCATCATCATCATTGGTTCATGGCCCACCTGACCCAACCTCGCAACTTAAAAACCCTCAGACGCACTGAATGGCACCTCACCCCTTGAACACTAGTCTCTGTAGCTCTCACCTGACCCATAATGCTTTTCTCCATTAACAGTTCAAGCTGTTTTCTTTTTTTGCACAAAATGTCAGATGCACTGTTCCAGAGAGGATATCACGACAAATGTTGATCACATGCTTCTTTTTTGAGTAACATGTTTCTGAATATGGTGAATAATCTGAAACTGTTCTACTGTATGAATGATATGGTTTAAATATTGATTCATCATCATTAGAGAGACAAAGTCCTCTTTAACGTCAACTGGCCAGAACTCAAACTATGTACGTGTCTGGTTTGGGGTTTTCAGGCTCTTTACTGTGGTACCACCTCATGACAGAGAAATTTGGGGGAAAATTAGAGGATCTGCATCTTCTTTTTTTTTTATTCCATGCTGCTACGTGGCACATGTATCCAGACTAACTTACATCTCTGCTCTCCAGGGTGCCAAAACATCATCGTCAGAGCCCCCGATCGCTCCACCTGTGTCCGAAGAGGAGGATGAGGAAGAGGAAGAAGAAGAAGAGGAGGAGGAGGAGGAGGATGACGATGACGAATTGCCCCCTGTCATTGCACCTCGGCCCGAGCACACCAAATCTGTGAGTTTCTCCGACCACGGTGGTTGAGATCATTCTCCTTTCAGTCTGATATTTCTGTGACACTATTCCCCTCTTGCAGATCTACACACGCTCCGTCGTGGACCCACCAAAGCCTCCCACCCCTGTGAAAGAAGTGTTGACTCCGCCGGAGTCACAGGTCCAGCCGGAGAACACGTCCAACACGATGTATCGCAACACTGACCGCCAGAGGAAGAAGTCCAAAATGACAGATGAGGAGATTCTGGAGAGACTCAGTATGTTCCTTTAGAGCCATGAGCAAAATTAGATGTTATTGATTGATTTAATTGATAAATTATATTTTCACTGCATTTTATCTTTGTAGATGATGGAGAAATCCAAATTCATCTCATTTACATGTTTATTTTCCTAAAAACAATCAAATATATAGATATAAGGTCAAAAATCAATCATAATAATCAAAATGACAATGTCAAGAAGACATGACTTTTTGTCCTATATGTATCTACACATGATTTCTGGCTGTGTCAGGCTGTATCGCATAGAAGACAGGCTCGATATTTAGTTTCCGCTGGCTGTTTTCCACATTTTACCTCCAGTGCACCTAATCTGTGTATTCATAAGAAATATGCATAAGACAATACAAGGACACTTTTTCTTAAACTGTGGCCTTCACAAGACTGCTCCTCTCTATTATGTAATTTAAGCACGTATTACCAGCATCAAGTAGAGCTGCATGTACTTAAAGCAGCTGCACCAAACAGACTAGGTCTGAAGTAGAGAGGCAGAAATGGTTCTGCAGTGATGTTTTCTGTGTATTTGTGTGAAGGCTGTCATGACACAAGCTCAAACACGGTATTCTGTGTTTTCTCTCTGACTCAGGGAGTATTGTGAGCGTGGGGGATCCCAAAAAGAAGTACACACGCTTCGAGAAAATAGGACAGGGGTAAGTCCGTCCGTCCGTGCTCATCAAGCACAGTTTCTGAAATGGAGCGATTTCAGTAGCAGTCACTCTCTCACCAGGAGAGACGCTGCTCCACTGACCACCAGCGGCAGAGAAAGGGTTAGGTTCAATGACTGGGAGAAAAATAAGAAGGGGTGAAATGAAAAGTCTATCCTGAAATGGCCATGGGGCAGATAAGCTCTGCCACCCCCCCTCTCTTCCTTTATTCTCTTTCTTTTTTTTTAAGGTTTATGCTTTTCTATCACGCTCCCTGTTCAGTACATCTCCACAGATAACACCTGTGTGGTTCTTATCTGTTTTATCATGGATGTTTTATCTGTGTTTCCACATCTGATACGAGGAAGCTCTTATCTCCAACAGTAGATAACTGTCTATTTACTCTCTACTGGGTATCTATTAGAACCAGGAACTGTTCTATATTATTCATAGCTTCTGAAAGTACACGTGCTGCCGACAGTAAGAGAAAGAGGATCGCCTCTTTAATGTGAACTATCATAAGTGTCATGAAGTTACATTTCCAAATAAGGGCAGAACAGCTGCATACCAATCCTTTGAGCTTAACTATTAGACACCATGAAGTCAAAATACAAATCCAACACTATTTAGTTTTGGTTAAATGTTTGAATACACTTCTTATGATGATTATCAACAAGAGTCATTTGAAAAACACTTGAATGAAGTTTTATTGACTTGAGTTTGATTTTTTTTTACAGGGCATCCGGCACTGTGTACACAGCCATCGACATAGCAACAGGTCAAGAGGTACAACCCCCTCATGCTGTGTATTATTTCTTTTTCCTCACTAAGCCATCAGGCTTTCTCGTGTTCTGAGCTACAAATGCCCTGTGTTGTTTTCTCAGGTGGCCATTAAGCAGATGAACCTGCAGCAGCAGCCCAAGAAAGAGCTGATCATCAATGAGATCTTGGTGATGAGGGAAAACAAGAACTCCAATATAGTGAACTATTTGGATAGGTCAGTTTACGCATCATCCAGACAACACTCCAAAGCCTAAAGATATTCAGTTTCCTGTCATATGTTTATAGTGAAGAGAAAAGCAGCAAATCATCCTATTTGATAAACAGCAAATTCCAAAGTATTGTTAATTGAATTTTCTCGTCCTTTATCTCTGCCCTGTCTGCTTGTTTGTTGATTTGTTTCTAAGCAAGATTATACATAAAGAACTGAACACATGTCCATGATACTTGCTAAAAGAGTTCGGTAAAGGTCAGGAAAGAATGGATCCAGATCAAGAGGCAGATCCAGGAATTATAGAGCTAGGGCGTTTTACCACATTTCAATATTTGTTCAGAGAATAATTTATGGATCTTGATGAACAAAACATCTGTCACATTTATGGGTCTGAGGCAAGCTTGTAGAGTTTGGTGCAGCTTTATTGAATTTAAGGGAACTGTTGGCAGAGTTTAAATTAGCAAATGATCTTGTTACTGCACATATGTATCTAATATGAGGAATACAAGGCCCATACAAAGACTTTATACCACTCAAACAAGACATCAGGAGGTACATGACACAGTTCTCTAACATTGTTAAAGGTTCTAACACGTCTCACACTGTTAAATGAATATATATATGATCTGCAGTAAGAGGCTGAACGAGGTCAGTGCACATTGGCACCAATATTACATTGAGGGACCCTGTGAGCCGCGTTTCTTTCTTCTTCTAACTTCTCCCTCTGATGTCAACAGCCTTCATCTTATAGGCACATTACTGCCACCTGCTGTTTAAAGCTCAAATAAGAATGAAGCTACACAAGCTTTTCTTTTTACATTTTTAGCACGAGGTCCACTTCATTTTCATTAAAACCGTCCTGCTGTTTTTCCATCTTGTAGTAACATGCTTGAGTAGCTTCTATTGTCTTTATTGACTCTGCACCATCAAACACATGGTACGACTCAAACTGTTCAGATGTGTGTGTGGTACTTCTTTTTGGGTTGGTATTGTTCCATTGATAATTTTCTATGGAGTGATGACTATTTTTTCACGTTATTAAAGAAACTACTTTACGAAATACATGCTTCAGTAGTTCAGAACCATGAATTAAAAATGTTTCCCTGTGTTTTTCTTTCTTTCTCTCTGCACTATTTAGTTACTTGGTAGGAGATGAGCTCTGGGTGGTGATGGAGTATTTGGCTGGTGGCTCTTTGACAGATGTAGTGACGGAGACCTGCATGGATGAGGGCCAGATCGCTGCGGTCTGCAGAGAGGTAAGACGCCAAGTTTAGACATCAGGAATACTGCAATAGAAAAAGACTGTCCAAGAGTGTGCTTAGTACAGGCTTTCCTTTGTGTGTACGTGTGTTATTAGGATTTTTTTTTGTTGATTTTCTTATCTTTCCCCCTTTTTTCCCTCTGCAGTGTCTTCAAGCTCTGGACTTCCTTCACTCCAACCAGGTGATCCACAGAGATATAAAAAGTGACAACATCCTCTTGGGGATGGACGGATCCGTCAAGCTTAGTAAGTCTTAACTTTTATGACAGGAAATATAAAGTGGTTTTAATATGGAAAAGTAAAAAGCATGATTACGGCCAAACAAGTGGAAACATGGCATTGTGTTAAAGGAAACATATAGTGAAAAGCAAGAATGAATAACTAAATGTCTCCCTCTGCAGCCGACTTTGGGTTCTGTGCTCAGATCACTCCAGAGCAGAACAAGCGGAGCACGATGGTGGGAACACCCTACTGGATGGCACCGGAGGTGGTGACTCGGAAGGCTTATGGGCCAAAAGTGGATATCTGGTCCCTGGGAATCATGGCGATAGAGATGGTGGAGGGAGAACCGCCCTATCTGAACGAGAATCCCCTTAGGGTAACACACAAACTGCAGCCACAACACAAGACTTATGATGTTAGCTGGAGTAGTGGAGATAAAATATCCAGATTTTTCATTTTGATCATCTTTTTCCCACATCCATCGCTCCAGGCGCTGTACCTGATAGCTACCAACGGGACTCCAGAACTGCAGAACCCAGAGAGGCTGTCGTCTGTGTTCAGAGATTTCCTTAACCGCTGTCTGGAGATGGATGTGGACCGCAGAGGCTCTGCCAAGGAGCTGCTACAGGTGAAACTGAGACTCATGCACGTACACACACTTATACCCCAATTAATATCTTATGAATCGACTAAGTACTGTACCATGTGGGTGATGTGGCATCAACCAGGTAGTGTTTTAATTTAAAACTAAATAATGAACAGGAGAAAATGCACAAACACCTTCAGGAATTCTCATAATCACCTATCAGAATGTAATGTATGGTGGCCCTGAAGTGCAAAACACAACAACAAATGAAAAGAGACATCAGCATTGAATTCTAACAGAAAAGGTCGGTACCGGCTTCCTCAACAGGAAGGAAATGCCTATAAAACCAAAAAAACATAACTAAACAATATCAAATCTCACCTAATACAGTCTGTGTCCACATTAATAATTTAGTCATATGCAAATGAACAATTCTGGCTCATTTCATACGGCACATGTTACCAAATCATCACTAAAAGTCAACCTCTTCTATTTCTAAATCTGTATCTCTGTTCGGCTCCACACCTACATATCCTTTCTATCATCCACAGCATTCCTTCCTCAAGCTGGCGAAGCCTCTATCCAGCCTGACGCCTCTGATTGTAGCTGCGAAGGAAGCCATAAAGAACAGCAGTCGCTAGGGCGTGCCCTCTGTCCGCACCCAAGGCTGGAGCCCCGTCTGTGTTGTGTCCATTCATGGGGGCAGGGACCTGGGTGTGTTGGTGGTGGTGGGTGACCCGATAGCGATGGCACAAGGATGGGGGGGGGGGAGATGTGTGACTTACAGTGAAAGCACAAGGACAAAAGACCCCCAGGCCTCATGTGTAGGACGGACATCTGGCCTTGCAGCCTCTCGGCCCATGCTGCTGAAAAAAGACCTTGCCTCTTCGTTTACTTTTCCAGCACTCTGTACATGTAGAGCAGTCCATCACAAGCCCGTGTGTGTGTGTGAGGGTGTATGTGTGTGTGTGAGCGTGTGCACATCTCTTTGTGTCATTTGTATTGTTTGAGAGGCAAAACCCCCAAACCCCCAAAAAATAGGGTGGAAAAAAACTGAAAAGAAAGTTTGCTCAGTTTCAAGAAGAAATGTCAGGAGTAAAGAAACTGGGAACTCTGAAGAGCCTCTGTTTCTCTCCCTGGCCAGCTGGGTTCTCTTTTCTCTAGTCCATCCACAGAGCACGATCAGGCCACCCCTGCAACGACCAGCTGATGCAAGAGAGCGACTCTGGACCCCAACCTTTGCCTGCATGACCACAGCTCTGTGCAAAAACACTGTTACTCCTCTGCAGATTGTAACATCTCAACATGGTGGCTTTGTGTGTGTCTGTGTGTGTGTGTGTGTGTGTGTGTGTGTGTAGGGGTGCAGCTACAGGGGAAACACTCATGAATAATTTCACAAGACCAATGCCAGCTTTAAACATCCTCCAGTAATCTGCTTCATGTCAGTCTGATTTCTTTTGAGCCAGCTTCTTCCACAAAGTTTGCGATAGTTATCTGCAAAGTTATCTTAAACTGCTGGTGCAGTTTCCCTATGTAAAATGTGCAATTCAACCACGACTAGAATGCAGCATCAATCTATAATAAACAGGTCATGCAATTTTAAATATACCATCAACACTAGAATTGCACCAAATTGTACACACTTATAGATATCAGTTCTCTACGTGTGCCTGATTTTCATCAAGATCCATGAATTATTCTCTTAGAAATAAAAGAAAATGTTGAAATCCTTCTCATCTCATTATGGTAAAACAAGTGAAAACAATTCCTGCAGCCACACACTGATCTGGATCCACACCCAAATGTTATTGCTTCTTCCCTGACCCAAGTTTTGTGGTAATCCGTCCAGTAGTTTTTGCATAATCCTGCAATCCTGGAGAACATAATCATTTCTTGTGTAATATAATCAATTAATGGGCTTTTGCAACAGATTACAATGACATGTTGATGAGACCTGTCACATATTTAAATCAACATTTTTCTAGCGAAAACTCTGTATAACATGTGGCCATTTTTTCAGAAAGACTCAAGAATCAAATACATTCACTGTCAGTTTCATTTTGTCTGATAATTCAAAAGATAATTTTAAAATGCATGTACAAACTCTTACTCTGACATTGATTGTGTACAAGCCTCTCAAGGATTATGCACACTACTTTGTTGCCTTGTGTAAAATTGAAAGTAAAGGGAAGCCTCCTTCCCTTCAACTAAATTCATCTGACAATTTAGTTGAAAGGAAGGAGGCTCAACAGAAATATGTTTTAATGTTATTTGAAATCTATATTTGTTGACACACATTCAGTCTCAAGGTGCTGCTGCAGTGGTCTGTGTTATACCCTGAATCCCAACATTTCAGATTTTCATGTTTGCACATTATAAAGCAGAAGGTCATGTAATTATTTACCTGCAGTGAATTGAAGGCCCGGTACCAGACTTTGTCATAGTGTCCCAAGAATCCTTGTATCCTTAGACCCGTATAAAGATGACCTTTGATACAAAAACAAAACATGGCAAGAATAAAACCCATTAAATGATAATGCATTCAAACTAAAATGGTCAAAACAAGGCCGGGAGGGAGAATTTATTTGAACAAGTAGTTGTGGGGACTGTTTAAACTAGAGTGGCCTTTAGTAGAGTGCATACCTCCGCCAAGGCCCCACCAGTCGCCTAAAATTCCAGATCCAAACCAAATTTCAATGGGTTCTTTCCTCACCCACACCACATCCTTTCCACTAATTACTAATTGTAATCCATCCAGTAGTTTCTGCGTGACCTTGTTGACTAACGAGTGCAGACGAACACATGACCTCGTGGGCAGAGGCAATAAAATCACAGTGAAATCCAGGTTCGACCTTTCCAGTTCAACAACACGTCCAATAAGGCACCGGGTACCAGCTCCCCTCACCCCCCTGCCCCCTTCATGCAGCTCTTTCATGCTTCTGTGTCCTTTTGTCTTTCAATGGGACTTTTTTCATGTGATCCACGTTTGTTTTTGTCATGAGTTCTTTGGACGTGTGGCAGGTCAGAGAGGGATTGGGTTGTTATCCACTGAGTAGAGTAACGAGTGCCATTTCATGATTGTACCTTGTCCTGATGAGTTTGAAATGAAATTTTGTTTCCTCACATTCCATCCATGCCTAAGTTAGTGCTTAAACTCATCCCTGTACAGAAGTTTATCCACAATGTGTTGGTATATGGTAGCTTTGTCGGGTATTTCCCATGTAGCATCCCTCTGTGTGTGTGTGTGTGTGTGTGTGTGTGTGTTTGTGTGTGTTAGGGGGCTACCTCAATCTGCACTAGAAGATGCCTCACTCGTGTCGTCCACCTTGACTCTTGAGGTGCGGCTTAGCTGCGTAGTGTTATTGCACCCCCATTGTACAGCAGCTGTGCAGAGGATGAAGGAGGCAGGAGGATGCGACAGGATCCATGCATGTAAAACAAAACCATACACTGTATCTCATCTTCAGATAGGTTAAGATTGTTAGGATATGTATGTATGTATGTAAATATGATGGGAAACCCCCCCTTTTTTCAGAATTATGTAACTTAAAATGACAATATTCAGGTTGCTCTATGGTATGTATCAATAAATGTTTTGCACCCTGGAAATCAAAAAACAAAAGAAGAAAAGAGAAGATCAGACACATACGCCGTCTCTGCACTCCTGGATCCAGCTCTCCTGTCGTCTGGGGCTTTATCGGACCCTCCCTCATTCAGACAGAGAGCCGGTGAATGCAGCGCTCTGTGTGCAGGCCCACACAGTCTGTCCTGAGTACCACTGCTGAGTGTTAGTACATGTATGTGTGTGTGCGGTAGGTGTGTGTGGGGGGGAGGGCGGGGGTCCTGTCAGGAAGCTGCGCCAGCCCTGGGATGTATTTTTCTTTTTTTTTTTGGCCTCTCGCCCGCTCCCCCCCATGTACAGGTCTGAACTATATGAGCACAAAGGTGAATTTCGGGACAAGAGACATCTCTGACGTGCCCCTTTTCTGTGATGGCGCCTGTACATTCCTATCTTCTGAATGTGTAAACCTGTACACGTGGTGTGAAAATTCCTCTATTAATGTGTATCAAGAGAATGGAACAAAGACAAAAAATGTTACTTTTTAAATTATTATTATCATTATCATTATTATTACTCTTATTATTGTCTAGCTTTGTAAAACTGCTGAACCATCTGGCATACCTCAGCAGGCCTCTCCCCATCTTTGGAAACGGACGAAAATGATGGACGGGGAAAATAAGGTTTTGGATAAACTATTTTTAATTGTGGTTGAAGCAATAGACTTTTTGAACTTTGAATTGTGCATGGCTGTGTCTTGAGTGTAAAAAAAAAAACGACAAAAAACTAAATATTGCAGTTTGGGAACTGGACTGAAATAAAAAGAGGAAGAAAACCACAGTTTTTGTGACGATGCTTGTGATGAAGCTGAGGTTTATTTTTTCGTTAATGATCATGAGGTGAACTGATACATGAGGATACATGAATGAGAACAGTTGTACATGCTTTTAAGTAACTTTCTCCACGTTATGATGAATACAGGCCATAAATATGATAATCATATGGTGAAGACCATATTAATCACAGTATGTGTAGTGTAAGAATAGAGGGATGGTGTCTTCATAAGCAACTTGATAAATGTCAATATAAAAATGAAAAGTCATGAGAGAAATTAAAAAGGCAAACAGTTTGTATAAAAACTAACAGGAAGTGACATTCAGTCTGTCCAATAGTGTAATAATGTAAAACTGCTCAATGTGATCACATGTTTTACAGTGGTGGAAAACAAAGCTGCTGGTTTTGGTGCTTCTGTCTTCCACATATAGTTCAGTGACTCAGCAATGAGTCGGATCTCTTTAAAGTCACTGATGGCCAAGGTCACATGGCGGTCAGCTGAGTGGAAGTACCAATCCTCACGCCGATGGTGCCGGGCATCTCGTCAGCCATCTGCCGGCCTCGCTTCCTCAGCTGGAGCCTCTGGGGTTCGGTGGTGTCCTTCACCGAGCCGGACAGCACAACTTGGCCCATGAACTCGTCCGCCAACGCGTTGCTGTTCCACACCTGAGGAGGACTAAGTGAGTTTTAGATACAGGTGAGAATTTTAATGTCACACATTATAAGATGATCAAGTGTTGGTGACTGAGGTCAGACAAACATGATGGACCCGCAATTTCAGCCAAACTACATCTTCATCTGTCAGTTATAATCACGTATACAGTATATAGAAGTTATAGCTACGAGATATGACATTTACGTTAAACATTGATATAATCTTCAATATATAAAAAAGTACACAACGTTCACAAACATTGCTTTAAATCTGGTTAAAAAAAGACACACCACTTTTTAAAACATCTTGGAGCTGAATATGATGAAATGTTGCTGTTATTTTCTTCTTTCGTTCATTTGTTTTGTACAATTTGAGCACTGAATGAAATCAATATTGAAAATGTCATTTCAACTACCAATATAAGATAGTTCAATGCAAGTTATGTATATGTTTATTCATGCATTCATAAATACATAATGCACCATTATTTTAAGATGATTTTCAACTGGCAAAGGCTGCAACAGATTTTTTATCATAGAAAAATAAGAAACAGAATTGTTTTGAATAAGCATATTAGGGGCAGCTTAAGTAACAATAATATTAATCTAAAAGTTTTAGAGACATTGTAGGTTTATGTACCAACTAACAGACTCCTTATGCTTTTAACCCTTTAAAACACACAGAATTATTGATTTAATTGTTTTTGAACATATAATAATCTTATTTTTCTGTGCGGAAAAAGTTCTGAGATGGATGATGAATGACGGTCATCAGAACCAGACAGACGCCATCTTACCTGCACAGTTATAGGCTTCCTGGGCTTCTTCCTGTAGAAAATGGCGCTGGTCTTGAATTCTGGTTGCAAAGTGTCCTTCTTGGTGGTGGAGCGCACCGAGCGGCCCTCACAGGATATGATCACATACGGGTCTGCACCTGCATGAAAGACAAAGTTAAAGACATGTTTCTATAGACAGAAAGACAATCGCAATATTTCAGAGCCATGAGGGGGAAGTGGAGCTGTGTGAGCGTCCTCTGACCTCCTGGGTTATCCTGGTCCTGCAGCCCCTCAGCTCCGTGGACGTAGACGTGAGTGACGACCTGCGGGTAGCCCAGAAATGAGCTCCAGCATCGTACTTTGGGTTTATCCTCTGTCAGCTCCCTGTGAGAGTAGAGGAGGATTACAGGACCAGGAGAGGAGTTGAGTTACTACATCTTGACCCTCTGACTTAGATAGTATCAGCTATCAGACAACTGAAAGACTGGTGGAGTGATATTATGTCCGTGTCTTAAAAAAAAAAGAAAAAACTGCTTGGACAGGCTGTATGTGAGAAAACAGGATCAGGTCATGTGTTTAAATTTGCCAACAAGAACGTCAGAAACAAAATAAAATCTCTGTCCAAGAAAAGCAGTGGGAGGGTGATGTTAAATTAAAAGTGATTTAATGTTAACAGACTATCAACAACCATATTTTATAGTCTCCACTTTCCAAAACACTCATTTGTGTGATTTTCTTGGACATTATCCATTCATGAAATGTCTGCACAGACGAAAGCTGTGTTCTCACTTTCCCTCATGTGTCTCACATCTGCCAAAATTACAAAGTTACACTGACTCCACCACACAGCCATACCTGCAGCCCGAGTCCACGTCAGTAAAAACTCGGATCATGTAATCCCCCAGCGTCTGAGGCCTGAAGGTGGTGGGGAAGATGATGTAGCGGCCCTGCGGCAGCATGCATCTCAGAAACACTGTCCGGGCATTGATGTAGGCGGAGGTCCCCACGCACTGCTGAGTCAAGATGTCATGCATCCGATACTTCCTGTTCAGCTCCACCTGTAGAAAGGAAAAGGTCTTTATTTACTTAAATAAAATGTATTTTACTTATCAAGTACAAAGTCTGGTGAGGGATTCTAACAATGAGTGCATATGCATGTGCACTGTAGGACCCAGTTCATGTGTTTACCACAGTCAGCATTTTTTCCTGGTTTTGTGGAAAATCTGGATGTGAACACCTTCACTATTAATCAGGTTTCTCATGTTCCACATAAACCCCGAAATAAAATTTAAAACCAGGATGATATTTCACATTTAATACAAACACAAGCATTGTGGTCAGACTAGTTTAGACTAGTGTAGAGTGTGTGGTGCTTGTGATATAACTGAGCACTTAGTGGAGTGCATATCCGTCACGGCAGGGAAACCACTTTTAAATTCTCTCGATCCTGACTTTCATTTAATCATCTGCACCAAATACCTAAACACTCATAAATATCACTCCCCTAAACATGTCTGATTCTTTTCATCAATATCCATGAATTATTCCCTGAAAATTTAGGGAAATGCTGAAAAACATCATATCTCTACATTCTACATCCAAGTGTCGCGGTAATCCGTCCTTTGGTTTTTACGTAATCCTGCTAAATAATAGACAGACAAACAAACTTAACCTCCTAGGTAAGTGAGCCCGCTGACATCTTGAATAAACAAATGCAGTACACACAATCTTGTATCTGCAGGCCTAATGCTGCCTACATGAATTCTCCTGCCCCCTGTTGGCAGAATAGTGAGTTAAAACCTAAATCAATTCAGTAAGTGTATATTTTTTCAGTTCAGAGTTAGGAATATAAATTCCTGTTGTATATATGAAAAGTCTTCAAAGTGGCAATTTGAATCAACTACCAGGTATTAACACAACTTTTTCTTTTCACTGACAAAACACGTCTCAAACTGAAAAATACAAAGTTGCTGTGGATGGTAACGCATGACAGAGAGTGTGGACACAACAGGTGGAGTCCTTCACAGAAAAGGAGGACACACTTACCATCAATGACACAGGTCCTATTCCGGTTCAGTGAACTCAAAGCAGTTCAACAGGCCACATGCACATTCACTGCTTTTTTTAATCACACACCCTGTGTTTGTTACTTGTCCCCTTTGGCAGCACTTCTATCAGCGTTATAAGAGTGTTTAGTGTGTTTGAACTGAACCAGATCTCTGACAGGGAAGTCGCTCTACAGGAAATGCGATGTCAGTTTTTTTGTGCCACATACATCACGTGTCCTCATGTGAATGCGACAGACTGATCTCTGCATATTAGCTCTAGTCTCACATGTTTAACAGCCGATCTAAAGGAGAAGTGTTTTGACTTTCTGATCAAGTAATCAGTTAAATCCCCACAGAGTAAAGTAAATACGTCAAGTCTCCAGCTAGTTTACCAACTTTTGTTGTAAACAGTGTCGGAGCTCTTGTTCATCAGATTTATTTTTGTCTTTTAATTATGAGAGTTTATTGGTTAAGATAAAAACATAGTGCCGTGGACGAGCCGTCTGAGGGGCACAGGCACATCGGGTTAGGGTTAGGGACCTTCTGACCTCGACGTTCTATACCAAGATGATTAGGTTTAGGCATCTAGGTCAAGTGGTTTGGGTTAGGACGACTGGATGGTCAAGGCATTATGATCTTCAAAAACTAACTTTGTTTGTGTTAGACCAAGGTGGTTAGAAATAGGCTTCATGGTTGGGGTAAGGGTCTGGGTTAGTATGGCTCCACAAGCATGGTACTATAACACAGGCGGCTGACCTGCCTTCATCTTACTGAGAAGTTGGAATAATAATGTGTTTTTTCTCTGTTCCGTTTTCCAGCCTGAAACAATCAGCTGTGCGCATTCTTTGTGATGCATGATTTAGCCACTTGTTGAAATCACGTGTTCTAGTTTCCGATAAACAGATAACGTAATGTCTACCCGATGCTTTAAAAACTGGAAGTGAAGCCAAATTATTTCAACATAATGGGCCAGTTCGATGGAATGACTCTTTTCCCCCCAAAATAAACTAATATTTGACAAACACCATTCCTGTGTGATGAACTCATCACCGGTCTCACCCTGAACTTTGTCTTATGATTCACAAACCCTTCATATCTGTTACTGATTTTTGCCCCTGGTGTCCTTTGGCAATTATCATTGAATATGCAGAATCAATCAATAACTGTGGATAGTGTCTGAGTTGCACAATATATTACCCTAAAGATACCAAAGCCGACAGTTATATTTTCTCCTTGACCATGTCGTCTGTGCATCTTCAAGTCTTTCTGTTGCAAGGAGATTAGAACTTCATCGACCTCCTTTGTCACGTCAAACAAATACTGCAAGAGAAGATGAAAACCGGTGAATATACAGCTTCACATGTGCATGAACTCAGGTGATGTGAGGAGAACGTTCAGCCAAAATGTGCAGCACCTGTGGATTTTGCAGGAATGTCTGCTTGTGGTTGGCGCAGCCGCCACAGCGGTTCAATAGAGGATCTGCGTTTTTGGTCCAGCTCCCAAAGTGCACAACCTCATGCCATGTCTTATGGACGCTAATCAGCGAAGTGTTGATGATACGGCAAACATCTGCATCTGTGAAGAACTTGCACCAGTCTGTGAAAGACATCCTGTGAATGCAAACACAACATGTGTTGTCCCACTGTGACAGAGGAAATAAACTCAACAGGTGGAGCCATGCATCTGGAAGAACTCACCAGAACTCTCCATCATCCTCCACCGTGATGCCGAGGTTGCCCCTCTCGGTATCCCCAACCTTTGACCATTCCTCAGAGCTGATGAACCACAAGTAAAGCAAATGGTTGATGCACTTACGGATTGTTTCAAGAACCAAATTCATAGTTTTAAAGCAAGAATCAACACAACATCCACAATTTAAGTATTAAGATCTGACTGTAAAGGTTTGTCTTTTAACAATTACTCAAGTGGAAAAGTTAATACTTTTACTTAAGTACATTTGTATCTATTTATTCGTACTTTTACTTACTAATATGTTTGAGTACTTCCTCCACTGTACAGAAGTTACATTAGATTCCAAAATGATCTCGCATCTCTGCTGTCTCTCCACAAGCTCAGTATGTTTCAGTATATTCTTGTCAGAACTTCTGCTCATAAACAACATATTTATTCTCAATAAAATCTTAAACAACTCTTTTGTGAATAAAAAAAAAATCTGATGACACTGAGAACACTGATTGTGTAGATAGACCACAGATTAAAGTGAGTAAAGACACAGGAAGGGTTTGCAGAGTTTTCCTGCAGAGTTACTTTTTTGTTTGTCACCAGGGATAATAGATTAATGTTAAAATCCTCTCACCTGTCACTCCAGGTTCCTTTCCACTCAGTCTTGCCCCAGGGGTTCCTCATGCGGATCAGGGAGATGGTTTCGTTCTTGAAGTACGCCAGTAGCCCGTGACCCAGACGCACCTTATTCACTGCAGTAACGGCGTACGCATGTCCTTTCACCAGCCCATTTGCCATCCTGAGCTCGATTTCATGAGGATCTGCCTGATGAATTTGTAAACAGGAGTACTCCACTACAGCCAGTTTTTCTTTAAGTACAGAAACAAAGTGAACATTCAGGAACAAGACAAACCTTAATGGAGCAGCTTATGATTCCTCCACGGTTGTAGACCTTCAGTAGGTCCTCAAACAGCTTGTCTTGTTTTTCCTGGTCTTTGTAGTAGGCATCCTCCTCCAGGCTGATGGCTTCAGCCACAGCGCCACTAAAATCCACCACAGCTTCTCCAGTGTTTCCCCCCTCTAAAGACTCATAGCAGCTTGCAAGCCTGGAAACAGTGCAGGGCAACCACAAGCTTAGTTAGACATAGGAAGTGTTGTAGAAATATTTGAATATGAAAATATAAACTTTGGTAATACAGTAGAAGATGAGAATGGATTCTATATTTGTAATTTGTAACACATACTAAAATATTGACCATACAAAACACATTTAAAAAACTGATGCTTGCACAACATACAGAAAGCAGCAGTTATTTGATTATATTATGCATTTACAAAATGTCTTGTTATTATAAGCACAATAAGTAGTAGTATGTCTGAGCAGTAGCAGTATAGGTAGTTTGTTCTAATACTGATAATCATTTCTAACATAAATGGTCCTATTTTATCAAATCAAAAATACGCAAATATGAAAAAGAAAAATACGGGGACAATCTGATTGAACTTTACGGACTTGGCGTAGGCCTTCTCCAGGAGAGCGCTCCAGAATTCATTGTTGGTTTTTGAATGACAGTAGATGAGTTCTCCACCAATCGTCGGCAGCCGATCGTCCACCACCACATCCAGCCACTCTCCAAACACCCAGAACTGAAAGTGGAAGATTCCTGCATAGCTCTCCGGATGATTGGGATCCCACTCCTGCTCCTTCCAGTCAGGGATCACCTGGAAACCCACAAACATCAGTGTGACTAATGAGGCACATGGCTCCTGAATTTAGACAAAATGTCTACAAATATTGCAAATAAATCACAGCAATGATTCAATCCAGACATATGAATAAGTATAAAAAATTTTTAATTTCCAATCATTCATACCATACATTAGTCATACTCCATTTAGATGTAGAGGAGCTCTTAATATCAGGCTTTTTACACAATACATGTGTTTTAATATAAAATTCATAAAAAAATGTTACATGCATCTACCAGCAAACTCAATTTGACTGATAGTTCAGAAGAATTCGGTTTTGCAGTCAATCATGAGTGAACCCCCTCAGGTAAATTCCAGTACTGGTCATTTCATGCAAAATCCTCGTTGGTATTTAGTTAACAGCAACAAATACACCAAATGCATTGACTCACAGAGTGAACAACCTAACTCACCTTCTTCCAGAGTTCTGGCTTTAGGGCCAGACAGGAGCAGGCAGCAACGAACCAGCAGTTCCCCACAACACCCTGGTTCAGGTCGTGGGAGCTGATGCCCTCCACAAACAGGTGGGGATTTTTGGATATCTCCTGCAGCAGAGAAAGTGACAAAATGAACTCAACACACTTTATTCTTAAATATTTGTGCACATAATTGTCTCGGTATTGTTTTCAGTCATACTGCATTTTGCAGGAATAACGGTATTCTTTGACAGAAGCTAGTGATGGACCGTTACCACAACTGACCCACTCACCCCTGGTCGTTTCCACTGCACAATACCAGGAGGCGGTTTCCGGTAATACAGAGATTCATTGGTGGCTGGAAATTCTGGATCCTCAAACAGCGTCTTGTCCTTGATACAGTTATTCTTCAACTCAGCGTAGTGCTGGTTTTTGTACGGGACAGCAGAGGAGAACATGGTCCAGATGCTGAGACCTCACAGCTTCAGACTGAGGACAGACACCAGATGTTTCTCAGACAGATGATAAATTGTTATAAATAGTTTTTAGTTGTCATGTGCGGGGGAAGAAGCTCCCTCCGGCCATGGACACTCAGCGCTTATGGACAAAGCCTGCAGGACTGGATCGTGTAAATGTCTGCGCTACTGCATTCCCACAGTCTGTGACCCAGAGACCCTCTGAACTCAGTTTACTGATGAGCATTAAGCAACACTGGGCTGTGACAACAATATATAAGATATGGTTTCTATGGAAAGAGAAGATGGAAAGCTGAATTTGTAAAGCTATTTTTAATCCATCAACAAATGAATTTCTAAAAACTTTATTATTCAACGACAAAGGGAGTGTGTAATTGGCTCTTCAAGTTTTTTTTCAGTTCAAGGCCATATTTGACCTAAACTGTTGGTTTAAGGCCATATTATCATTAAAAAGATGTACTGTACTCATGACTGAAGCAGAGACAAACCAGTTGTGTTCTCTAGGGAGTGTAGATATTTTAACCCTTGACCTTTGTCCCCTCACACTGAACCATTGGGGCTGAATTTGATTCAATAAAATTATTTTGGCTCCATCTTGATATTCTAGTCTTTTTTCCAAGAAAAACACATCACAGTGAACCAAATTTAATTTACTGAAAGAAATAAGTTCAAAGTTGACTGAAAGTTTGTTCTTGCTTAGAGCCCTCAAGAGAGTTTGTGTGTTTCTTCAGAAGTAATGAAATGTCTGGATGAAGAGCATCAACCTGTGCATTTACAATATTTTTACACAATATAGACAGTATGTTTACAGTACATACATGTTTCAGATTAAATAAAATGCTGCTGATGTTTATTTCACAAAATATGTAACATTACCCATAATGTATTTTTTTTTTCACAAACTCCCCATTGTTTTGTATATACTATTCTTTTCAGAACATATGATATACAGACAATATTTTAACAATAAAGATCTTTGTGGCTCATTGTAGTCAGGATCTCTGTGTAAAGCTCATAATGCTAAGAAAGTATGTGTTAAAGTGCTTTTAGTTAATAAGCCCCTTATTATATTACTTACTTTAACCAGAATCATCAGAGAGACCACAACGGTAACAACTTTATATTAGGGAACACACAAAGTGAACATATCCAAGCACTTGATTGTAATTCATGTACAACAAGCAATAATTAGGAGGTTATTAAGGGAAAACTGTTAATCAATGGAGTAGTTGCAGAATAAGGTCATTAAGAATAATGCATTAATAAGTGCTTTATAATGACCAATAAAGAGCCAATATGCCTCTAATATCATGCTAATAAGCAACTAGTTAATGGTTGATATGTYTTTCCTAATATAAAGTGTTACCACCACAACACATGACAGCTAATAAGTTTATATGAAGTATAACTTTATTTTAAAGCATCTGTTTTCTAAATAGCTACATATAAAAAATATATCATATAGTTTATAATCCTAAGTAAGGTAACTGAGGATAGAAGGAAACGAAAGTGAAAAGAAAGAGTAGATGCCCAGACAGCAGCACACAGTTCTTCTCTCCTGCTCCAGGTGCTGTACCTGCAGTTCTCTTCCACAGTGACCTACTTATACATGCACATTGTCAGAGCCACGCCCAGGCTGTGTTTGTTCAATTTAATATTACATTTTATTGCCTCCTACTGTCATTGTATCACTCTGCACTGTGACGTTTAGAAGGAGTGATATGTCTTCACATGCCATAGCTACCTGATTAAAACATTTTTTTTCTGGGGAAATCAAACAGCCTGTGGCTTTGGTGTGGGACGAGGTTGTGAGCCTGTTTGTGCTTGTGAGTGAATGTTATCTGTTTGAGAGTTCCTGACGAATGTGGTCAGGCAGGTTATTTTTGGTTGGGTATTTGTGTAGTGTAGCACACATCTGTATAGAAAAGTCTGCTTCACACACTGTTTATTAACACATTATCAGTTAAACCAGTTTAAAATGTGTAACAATGGACCATTCTGTACATGTCTGTCACAGCTTCAATCTTTTTCAGTGTTGTCAGAGCAGGTAAAGATCGGAGAAAGAGTTTTTAAACTCTGGCGTTAGAGAAACTGGAGAAACTAAAGATGTTTCCTAAAAAGATATGCAGTGATGTGATTAAATAAAAGAAAACACCCCAAACGCTGTGTATGAGAAAGTTACAAGTGAATCTAAGAGACAGAAAATGTGTAACACTCACCTGGGCTGAGCTGTGTTATTCCTCCAGTGACGAGATCAAACACATTCACTCTTCTGTTCAGCTCCAGATGTGTGTCCACCTCAATCCTACATTTCTGTTAAACCACCCGTCACATAAAACAAATTGCCTGTGACACCTTTTTCAAAACGAAAAAATGCAGCTCCCTCACTTTTAACTTCTGGCTATGAGGACGTCCCCAAATACTTTTAGCCAAACTCTGCCTCTGAAAACTGGTCTGACGAGCACCTCTCTGCAGCAGCGTCATGTAAAGGCTGATATGGTGATTGCAGCAAGGGAGGGAGGGGAAGAGTGAAACTGAACACCTTCTACCTCCCAACAACTAGCAACCCACAGGTGAAGCAAGTAAAAACTTGTCCTGTCCTTTAACAGGATAACAACAATAACAACATTCAAAAAAAGTCCATAAATGTAATATTTGCGTCACTGTCTAGATCTGGATAGTCTGGATCTATCTGTGTGAAATCATTTGCTTCAAGTTATCCCGAGGCCAGTGGAACTGAACAAACACAACCAATAAGCCGTGTGCAATCCCCAAACTGCCAGTGAACTGTGGTAATAAGACAAACTGGCGGCCGCTCAGAGGTCTGGGATCAACTTTTAAAGAGCACAAGAACCACTTTGACACACTCAGATAAAAAAAGAATGAAAATCTTGGATAAGTCCAGCTTTAGACAGAGGGCAAAGGAGGCAGCTTAAAAATGGAAGAAAGAATGCCTGGCCACAGCCAACAGTAATAAGGTAATTAACAGGAGCTAGACAGCCTGACCAAGGAACTGGAAACATGTCTCAAACGAAATTGACACTCAGTAGAGCACATACATATGCCAAGGCCCAACAGTCCTCTTAAATTCCCTCAAGCTGCCCCACATTTTAACAATCATAGATGTTAGTCCCCAAAATGTGATATATATATATTTTTTATTACAATGATCCATGAAATGTTCCCAGTGATAAAGTCAATAAAATGCCCTGTCTCACAATGTTAAAGAAAGAGATGCAACATTTTTTGGATGCGCCTCCTGATCCGGATTCATACCAGTTCTAATGGGTTCTTCTCTGAGCAACACCACGTCGTTCCATCAAGTGTCATAGAAACCAGTCCAGTTGTTTCTCTGTAATCCAGCTCACATACAAACAAAACAACCACTCAACCAGCAAACAGGAAGACAATGGTGAAAGCTTAGCTTCCTTGTCAGAGGTAATAAAAGTAAATCATTGGGAGAAGTGTGTGGAGGTGGTTCAGAGCAGCTCCACCTGTACCAGAGGAGTAATCAGTGCAGCTGAGGGCTGGTAGCTGATTGATGCTCTGTTGCTGCCTCAGGGAGACACATGTGGTGAGAGGCTTCACGAGAGACTGTCGATTTGCAAAGCCAAGGTGCCCGCTGAAAAGAAGAAACTACACGGAAAGTTAAAGGTACAGTGTGTAGAATTTTGTAATATCTAGTGTTGAAATTGCATGTTGCAGCTGAACACCCCTCACCTCCCCCTCCCATTCCAAACATAAAAAATAACCTGTGGTGAACTTCAGTTGTCATTTTTTTTGCACTGTTAGCGAGACTAAACAAGCATTTGACAAACTTCCTTCAGGATTTGGGAAATTATGACCAATTTTCACATTTCAAAGAATAAGGCTCCACATACTTCATAATAACTGTCTCACTTAGTTGTGTGGGTGTAAGGTACAATGAAGCCTGTGGGACTGTAAGCAGAGATTCAGACTTTTCATTTGTGTTGTTACAAAAACAACAGCTGACAGCTTTTTGCTCGTACTCCAGCACAGATCTGTTCCATGCTGCTACACATCATAGTTCGACTAATTCCCCATCTTTCTGAAAACCCCTCCTCAGCCCCAGATATATATATTTATATGACACACAATAGACACTGTGTTTGATTTTGATTAAAGAGAAATACAGCTCCCATGAGGCCACAGACGGTCGAGACAATATTTGTGAACATGAGACCATTTCTCTCAAAGCCAGTAGGTGATGAACTTTAACCTCTAATGTTGTCAAGACATGAAATTAGAAACGCATCAAGAGAATGAGAAGCAACCAAACGGACAGAGGTGAAAACCTCCTTCGTTGGTGCAGGTAATGGCTTTTTTCTGCTGATAGGATTTTAAATTCTTATGACCTCACACGACCTCAAATGGTTGCCAGAAAAGACATTTACAGCACAAGATAGTGACTGATAACTGCATATTCTGCTTCCAATTTGACAATCATCATCATCAATATCATCATCATCTGATTCCCTATATATGACTCCCCCGTAACAAAGAAATATTAAATTACAGGACACACGCTTCTATTTTAGTGAGAACACTCACTGGTATAATGCATTCTGTCCACCTAACCTTAATCATCACAACTAAATGCCTGACCCTAACCCTATCCCTAAAACTAAGTCTTAACCCCCCCCCCCCCGAAAAAAATGGTCCTCACAAAGATATCTGTACAAGAACGCATGCATGCACAACCACACACACACGTTTGTACAGCTCTCTTAGTGAGGACACTCATTTGCAGCCCCAAACCCAAACCCTGACCATCCAAACTAAATGCCTAACCCTAACCCTAACCCAACCTAAACCTAATTCTAACCCTCAAACCAAGTCTTGACCCCCAAACAGTCCATTAAAGGGGGGGTCACAAAATGAGGACCGGCCAAAATGTCCTCACTCCTAAACCAGTCCTCACAAAGATAGCCGTACACACACACACACACACACACACACACACACACACACACACACAGGCCAGTAGATGGCAGAACATTCATGCAGATTTCAATGTATGTCATTGCACATGCTGCTAAAACACTGCATCTGTATTTTCATATTTCCTGCAGTAGAGGCCACCAGAGCCCAACTGTTGTATTAAAGGTTCAGCAGGTGTCAGATCCAGAGTGCTGTATATTCTATACAATTAATATTGTGTTGTGTTGTATAATGCTCTTAAATCATATTGTTTTTAGTGGCCATTAATGAATTTAAGGCTTTTGTCATAGTTGGATGGACATTATATTACACTATACTTCAGATACATGTAGGGATTGTGATGCTGACAATAACATCAGGACCATTGTAAGATCTGCATGATGTTTGTATAGTCAGTTACTTTTGTTATTATCTGTTGTTCATATACATGTTTCATTGATCCTTATACACATTTTATCAATGAAACTGGTTAAAGACTTGAATGATATATATGACCTCAGTACTTCGGTTGTATAAGCAGCTTACACATGTTGTGACTTGAATCAACGGTTAGAAATGCTGATGGTAGAGGGAAAAGAACATGACACATCGTATTTCAACAAGATCAGAAGTTTGGCTGCTGCTGAGGGTGAGAAACAGGTTTCCTGTTGCCATGGTGATGGGGATGGTTTTGTGTAATGATTTACACATTAGGAGAATAACTCACTGGTCTTTAATCTGTTCAGAACAATTCAATGTATTTGTAGCACACATTGGGCGATAGTGTTGTACACATACACAACATATATATAAAACACACAGGTTGGCTGAGCTTTCCTTATTAGGAGTTTTCATTCACTTCCATGTATTGTGGACATGTGGCCTAATCAAAGCCTTATCCCGAACCTTAACCAAACCACAACTCACATCTTACTCAAACCTAAACCATGGCCAATTAAATTAAGTTTTCATTAGGACTGGGCTTTGGTCCTCATGAGGTCTACTGGCCCTGACAAGATCAATTCTTATGCTGGAAAATGTCCTAAAAAAGCAATAAAAACAAGCACACACACACTTCTGATTTTGCTGCCAAAGAATTGTATTATGGATTTATAATTTAATAAGGAACAGTTGTTAAAATCAAAGAACTGTTGCTATGATATGTGGCAAACATAATTTCTCTAAAATGTGTAAATGTGTAAAAAGAGAACAATTATTAAGCCAGAGCAGTGAAATACAACTGTTTTAATTTGCAAAAGGATACCGGTTAAAACACTGAATGAAGCACTGAAACAAGCCACTGTGACGTTGCAAAATACCACTAAAAAAAGGACATTGTAAGTTTCCAAGAAAAAAATTCATTCAGTCGATCAGGAAGGCAAACATGAAAGAGCACAGGGAGCGTATTTACACCAAGATAAAAGTGTCCTGTAACTGACAGAACGCTGGGAGACTTCCTCATTCAAGACATTTTATAATGTTTAACAAACAGCTGTTGACAAAGAACAAGCCTTCGATTTCCCGTTTCATTTATTATTATCAAAAGACACTAATCTTTAAAAAACAAAAGGCACCACTGTAGGTGATGAATTCACACCATCCATCTTACATGGTGGCGGCCGGTTTACACAAGACAACCAACATTTTCTGTTTATGTTTAATACGCTGTAACAAGCTGTAGAAAAAGACCATTAGTATTAGCATGGAAGGTTACACAGGACTGAGAGCTTGAGAAAAATGACGACAAATGGGGCTTTTGTACAAAATGGTGGGTGAAGTGAGGTGTCCCTGCTGTGGATAGGCTGATGTTGTTAACTGTTTGTGCTGGTGGGACAGTGCCCCCTGCAGGAGAAAGGTGAAGCTCACAGCACCAGATATTTTTTTGTAAGAATTTGTCTTGAGTATTAAGTGGGTGATAAAAAAACCAGCAACGATTATCCAGAGGGCAGACGCCACATCACTCCTAAGACACACAAATTCACAATGGAATAACTGCATGGAGATTTCAATTATAGCTAATTTCTCATCATTCTATTAGGTATAAAAAAAGGTCATCCTCTACACGAACGGAAAAAGAAAAGTCTGAACTATTCTTTAATCTGAATGCATAGATGTTAATTTAAAGGATGCTACATGTGCAGCATTTTTTAATCAACACATTGAGAAATTAATTGTGGTCACGCATTGCAATGCTGGCAAGTAGACAGTAAAGTGTCTGTGATGAATAAGTAGCTCCCTGCTTTGTGCTTCAGAGTTTGTTTTTTTTCCAAATTTAGAGATTCTCAGGTTTGATTCCCTGCAAAGTCCGAGAAAACTCTTCAGTAGATTGGTAAGACAAACGATGCAACCAGAGAAAAATAAAAGCAAAAGACGATAGAGAGTTGCACACAGAGGCTTGAATAAAGAGTTTAGAGATCATGTGAGCAAGTTAAAACTAGAAATAAAAATTACCGGATGAGTACCCTTGATATAAATTAATAAACTTTATAAAATTTGAAACCCACACATGGATTTAGACAATGTTTTTCCTCTCCCCTGTTTCTGAGTGCCACGTTGAGCCATGCACATTGGATGAAACCCCACTAACATTCAGCGCCCTGACAACAGTAAGCGCCTCAGATGAGCATGATTTAAGCTTTTTGTGATTTTTGATGCGTTACAAAGCAACATGCATAAATCTCCAGGTGTGCTTCCTCCAGAATAATTAAAAACCTAGATTATATCCCCCCTTTCTACAATTCCATGTCTAAAAATCATGCTTTGGCTTTTGAGACGAATATCTATCTTTAAATTTCACACACTGTTCAATAAAACATCGTCATATTGGTGGTGAACTGGTCCACAAGGGAATCATTTAGACTTCGGTCAATAAAATGACTTTAAAAAAGGGCCTAACTGTTTTTCCTTTGGTTGTTTTAGGTCCTTACTTTCATGATCATTCACCAATATCATGCACTGCAGTTTGTGAAAATCTAAAACACAGAGGGTATATATACCTTGAATAGACTACAGAGGGTCAAAATAGAGGAAACACCAACATAAAGATTTCCCGCGAGGGTGATGTGAGATGCCTTTTCCGATTGGACAAGGGTGAACGCCAATTTTAGCCAGAATATGGATTTTCAGACCTCCGTGTGTTTGCGGTGGTTTAAATAGCTTCATCTTACATGATTATGGTTTTATAGTTTCTGGTGTAAATTCAGTGGGGAACATGAATCCCCATTGAGGAGGCGTGGGCTTCTGCCCAGTAATCCTCTTCAGTCAGGAGCTGCATCCCACACATCCTCACCCTCTGCGGAGCGACTTCATTTTGGTTGCTTCTTTTATCATACCCTGTTATTGTGTTGAGCTAATGTTAAGACGGACACTGTAGAGACGTTATGGAAGCACAGCAATGGACGGAGATGTTATGATGGATGTAGCTATATACAGATTTACAGACTTTCTCTGGCTTCGCAGATGATTTCCTCTGACATGGGACCGTTACCTTTCACACCAGTAAGCATATTGGGAAGGAGGACATGGAGAAACATCACGAATACAAGTGATTCAAAAATCAGTTTTGACTTCACACCCTTAAAAATATCAATTTGCTGCTTGAGAGTCTGTGACTTAAAAGTTAAAGTCTGTGCATCCTTTAATGAAATGTCTGAAATCAAAGTGAAATCTTTACACCGTGAAATCTGTGGGTGAGTGAGCTGATTGAGAAATAGTGAAACCTCCAGATAGAAACGTGTCTGAGCATCAGTGAGCTGATTGAGAAATAGTGAAACCTCCAGATAGAAACGTGTGTGAGCATCAGTGAGCTGATTGAGAAATAGTGAAACCTCCAGATAGAAACGTGTCTGAGCATCAGTGAGTTGATTGTTACAAAGTGGTCGAAAGTTAGTCATTTAAAAAAGAAAAAAAGGTTTGTGTGACCCTCAAGCAGCAAGTTGTGACATAGCCCTGGTGGCTAAGGCCTTAAAAAGGAGATAAAGAAGTGGTTCTCCGAGACAACAGGTGGCACTGTGAGTGACGGTGGAAAGCAGCAGACGTATAAAAACTTCTGTGTTTCAGGCCAAAACACGAGGCGGGCTGCAGGGGGAGAGTTTACATCGATTCACCCAGAGAATCATCGTCATCCAGAGATAAGGGCAAGTAGAGATCCTGGAAAATATAAAACAAAGAAAATCACACAAGGAGCATTTAATGATGGTGTAGTAAAATAGGGTAACAAGATGAAACAGGCAGGGGGAGGAAAGGTGTCCCGGTACCTTCTGCTTGTTGTTGAGGCCTGGACTGGTGGGGGTGGAGGTGGGGGAATGCTTGGAAATCGGGGTGGACAGCTGGCTGCTGGAGCCCGTCCCGTTGGCTAAGAGAGTGCCCGCAGATCAGAGAAGAGAGGGGGGAGGAAAGGGGGTGAGGGATGGGAGAGAAAGAGGTAAACAGAGCAGTGGGTTAGAAAAGTGTGCGGGGAGAGGCTTGAACCTCTTTCCTTGGCTCTGGAGAAAAGTGATTCCTGAGCCGAGGGCTCATTTGGCCGCAGCGTAGAGGGACGCCATCTACAAGCCGTTTGTTAGAAAACATTGTATTCACTCGGTCTGCGTCTCGCCACGTTGCTAGGAAACATTGTGTTTACATCTGAGAGCGGTGCGATGAGATGTAGTTGAGCGTTTTAACTGATGTCAAAGAGTTTTTTGTCTGCAAGAGATGAAAAGCATTTAACTATGAGCCAGATGGCCAGAGTCAATTTGGGCCAATGTGTGTTGAAAAAACCCGAAGTGGAAAAAAAGCGTCATTGTTAACCAACTTAATGCCACTGGCTTCATTTAACCACTCAGTCGGATAAACACACTCACAAATGCAGACTTAAGAAGCTGTTGAAAGGACGAACCTGTCCAAAAACAGAAAAAAATACACATCCTATTATCTCTGGATCTAAAGATGAGCAGATCTCCCACTTTGACTGCACAGAGAGTGCAGCTTTTTCCAAACTTTTCTCTGTATCAGCAAAGTTGTCAACACTGTGGTTTTGTCTTTAGATTTCTAAAGAGATTTATTCATCCTCTGTAGAAAGTAGAGGATCACTGTGTTTTTTCACTTTCATCACAGGACCATGGCAAACACAGTTTCTATGCACTCAGCTCATTAAACCAGCGTAACTGACGTTACTGAAGTTGTTTTGTTTTTAAGAGGTTGAACAAAGTGCTGGTAACCAAGATCACTGCTCTGGAAATCACATTATATATATTTTAGATTGAGGCTAGACAATGTGAGTCTGCAGTTCAAGGTACATTATTGAGCTGTTGGAAAATAAAAAACCTCCGTACTAGCTGTGAACCAACTGGTCAGAGACAAATGGGGATACAGTAATTTATAGATTTAATGTTTGGCTATAACAATACAGTAAGCAGCCTCAGGTAGAAAGTATACATGAATTTGTTTTTTTTATCATATAATATTACTACCTCTGCCAAGGAGGTTTTGTTTTCATCATTTTTTTGATAGTTAGAAGGATAACGCAAAAAAACATTTCACGGACTTCCACAAGAGTTGGTGTGGTATGGGTCGGGGAGGAGCCCCTTAAATTGTAGGCGCAGATCTGGATCCGAACTGTCGGGCCTTGGTGGAGTGATTTCCTGGTTTAACTAGAATGCCATGGTGCGGTAGTATTTTGAGAGATCAAGTTATTTAGATTTCTTTTTTAATCCAAAAAGACAAATTCATTGAAATAGGTGGAGCATGAGAGACAAAAATTTTAGAAAATAAATATCTTTAATCCTTAAGAATGAAGACCAGTTAAAATAGGCACGTCACACACAGGCCCGTGATCTCTCTGCTGACCTCTCAGAGGTGATTAAAACTCAGTTAACTCTCTGGCCTGTTGGCCAACCATCTGCTGTGTATTAAAGGACGGTCTTCCCCAATCAATGATCAATAAAATATTCAAGACAGCTGAAGGCCCGAGGGAACCTGGAAATCGCACCCCCTCACCCCCTATCTTGTAAAGTGGTGTGAAACAGGAAATGTGGACCTGCTGCCCCCACCCTGAAAACTGTGAGAGCACCGACTCTTTGCATTAACCTCAGAGGAGATTTCACAGCTCTGTCACCTGCCTCTGCTGGAGAGACACTGTCACTGACCCTCACACTGTCACTGCTCCTGTGTTGTCATGGTACCAGGGAATCATTAGCAGTATGTAATCTCATACTCGCAGAATTTGAACCCATCATTTGATACAGAAAGAAGAACTGATGCTGCATCTTTCTGGGTGTTTTTATTTTTCTCTTTTCATGGTTTATATGAAAACTGTTTTGTATTGTCATACCTGCCTGTGATTAGATTTCATGGCACCATCTGTCAAGCTATAAACTCATAGTAACACAGAGGTTTGAGACAGTTTTCCATTGTTCAAACATAAAGTATGATGTGAACATAAAGTATTCAAGCATGTGCAGGCATCACTGTCTCCATTATGTTCTTGTCATGGATATTATTAAATGTTAAATGGAAAAAAAAACAGCTAAAGGTAGATTTCAATGTCTTTGTTTACTTTTCATGTTTCATTCATGGGTTTAAAGCAAAGTTTCTGACAGAATTTTATTAAATCTTATCAGATTAGCCTCAATAAACAAAGGCTGTATCATCTTTAAATGAGATGTTGTTGTGAGTTGTCGTGTTTGGACGACACAGTAAAAACTGTCCCAACACAGAGAGGAAACTTCTCACACCCATCTTCACACAAAATCCATCCTTTATTATCAGAGTAAGGTCAAAGGTCAAGATCAGTTTCAGCCCTGCACCACTGGATGTGATTAGGATTTAGTGTCTTCACCCCAGGAGCTACATCACTCTGCCTTCAAATCTGATGTTGTATTCTTTTTCATTTCGCGCAGCAGCATTAGCCTCGTTCTACTTTCTACCAGCTCTTTGTTCTGATTTATGGAACAAGGTGAGGTCAGGTTCTGCTCCACTTTACACAGGAAGAGTTACAGTGTAGGTGAGATGGTAATGGGCTCACTTGATTCAGCAGGAGACTTGCTGCGCTTGATTGGAGCAGGACTCTTCACTAAACCACGCTGAGGTTTGGGCGTCTTCATCACCCTGCACTCTGTGGAGACAAAAGAAGCAAAAAGAAAGATTATCACTTGATTCCTAAACTGGCTGAGTGAGCTGCATCTAACTACGCAGCTCTAAATAAAATACGTCCGGTATCCGTAATGTCTGACATTAAACTTATAATAAAGCAACACTAGTCAAACTTCTACCGAGACAACATGTGACTAGATAATACCAAAGTGAGAAAATGTGGGATTTATGTTCTCATTTGGATGAAAATCAAAAATCATGTGTTTAAACATGTTAAAATGTCATTTGCTCCCTGTGTCAAAGCAAATCTGTAGCGTGGCTCTGGGTGTGGTTCTAATCTGGTGAACTTTGACCCCCGAGGTGTGCTGTGTGTGACGGTGCATTATTGCTGCAGTAAACAAATACCAGTCTGAAAAAAGCAGGACAGCCGGGATTTGTGATGACACAAATCTAAGAAACCAATCCTGTCAGCTTGTGGGTGGAGCTCAGTAGCTGAAAAAGACTCATCAACCAATGGTGAGCTGTGAGGGTGGGGAGAAAGGGGGGCAGTGGCAGGGCATGAATTAGCATAATGTGTAAAGGGCAGGCTTTCTAAATGAGCTATTTAATAAATCTGAATAAAAATGATGTCATTGCAAACAGAATGGCTGCCTGTTCATTCGTCATTTTGATTTGTGGGAATGAAATGTGACATGACCAATGCACTGGTCTGATCCCAGCCTCATTATGTCTCTAGTTTTAATATGTCGGTGAGGCAGAAGTTGATTTTAAGTGTGAACTAAGTCGTTTCATTCATTTTCTTAACACAATAAATTGCTTTAACTGCCTGATTGCAGCTGTGTTGTGTTGTGTCTTTTTCCCTGAGTAGTTTCAGTTCTAGTAACATGGAACACATCCGGTTTTGTGAGATGAAAAAAAAAATCCACTGAGAAGGAAGGAGCTGTTTAAATTCATGTATACGTTCGACAGTGAGTGTTTATATATATCATAGAAAGACGTATGCAGTATATATAGTGTGACTGTAATAATCAGGGCAGACAGACTCCACTCACTGCTACCCCTCCCTCTGCATCGTCCTCTGTTTGTACTTTCAGCCCCCAGCCCCCTCCTCTTTTCCACTTTTGATGCTAATTATACTATCTGTCCTCCCTCCGTCTCCCGGGATCGCACCATGTCTTTCTTCTCTCTCTCTTACCCTTCACACACTACTGCATGCAGACACACAGTACATTTGTGTTCCATTGTTTTGTGCGAGGTGTGCCACCGAGCCTTTTGACAGTGCTTCAGACTGGCAGCTTGTCTCGTCCACTCAGTGGTCTCAAAATAGCCCCCCCCCCCCGAGTGTGTCTGCACAGATTTCCCCTCAGCCTTAACTGATGCTGCATAAACAAGAGTAGCAGGTACACACGTGCTCCACTCTGTCTGCACGTCCGTCAGCATAGATTTGTATTTAACATGAGGTGTGCATGTAAAAATAACAACAGGGGAATTAGATCTGTTTTGGTGATTCTGACATGTATGTGGAAAACAAGAAGGTTTATTTCATTATCATTGCATGTGTCTGCGACGTTTGCATATATACTTAATTATTACCTCCGCCCAGGAGGTTGGTTTAAAAAAAACAACTAACATCTGGATTTGTCTGTAATGTGTATTGATACAATCAGCATTGACTCCCAGGTCAAACAACTCTCAACTCTGCAGCAGACACAGGTTTTTATCAGCTCTGGCTTTAATCGGCAGTGATGGAAACATGACACCCGGTGAACTTGCTAATTTGGCAAGACAGCGAGGTGCGAGAGTGCCACAGTTTTCTGTGGATTTGTGACGTCAAACATGATACAACAGGGGTCAAAAAGAAAGGAGCCACACCCACGTAAACCCACTAGTTTTGGTATAGAAGAGGTATAAGTTAGCAGGATCACGCAAAAATTACTCAACGGATTTCCACGAAATTTTGTGGAAGGATGTGGCATGATTTAGGAAAGAACCCATTAAATTTTGGTGCAGATCTAGAGCAGACAGCAGATCCAGGATTTTTTTTCTACATTCTTTGACATGGCATTTTTCAACATTTTCCAGTGAATAAACAGATTCTGCACATTCAGGGGACTGATATCTATGAGTGTTTTACAATTAGTGCAGCTTGATTGAACTTAAAGGGACAGTTGGGCCTTGGCGGTGTTATGCGCTCTACTGAGAGTCATTCTAGCTCATTATATTATCAGAACTACCTTCTAAGACAAAAGGATTTGATCTAAAGGATCCAGACTGATGCACACTATGGATACACAGTTTGGTAATGTAATGTGATGTATCACAGACAGGCCTTTCTCCTCCTTCTCTACTCCACTGAGGACAACTCAGTCATGTCTGGATGCTCGAGACTCTCAGCCATTTTATTTAGCATCGCCCTGAGGTTATTATAGATTGAATGAAACAATTTAGATTTGGTTCCATGGGGGCGAGTATGCTGAGAGGAAAGAGCCCAGATCATTATAAATAAACTGGGATCTCCATCCTAACATGATCTGACAAGGAAGCAGGAGGAGAGAAGGGGTGAAAGGAGCATGATGACAAATCAGCCCTGTACTGCATCAGCGCAGCGTTTAGATTCAAAGGACATCTGTACCATACTGGATGCATGGAGGAGGGACTATTGGTGAAAGTGGGTTGTTAAAAATAGGGGTATTTCAAAGTCTGCGGGGAGCAGAGAGACTCACTGAGAGGATTGGTTTCACATTTTCTCTCCTCGACTTCTCAGCAGTATCAGCACCAGCAGATCAGCTGGCCTGAACCTGTCACCGGACAGATTAATGGCTCTTTCTCCTCTACCTTTTCCACTCGCTGCTGCCGGTTGCAGATAACAGACTTCTCTCGCAGCCCTTTGTAGGCCTGCTTCTCACATATGTAATTTTTCTCCTCACACAGCTACAGTATGTGTGTGAGCATAACATCTTTTACAGGGAGAACCGCTGTATTAAACCCACTCCAGGAGTAAATTAGCTCTCCTCTTTATGAGAGGGTTTCCAGAAAAAGACACGACACATTTTATATGCTCAGGCTCTATCATAGAGGCCAAGGGACTTATGTCAGAAACATGTTGACTTTCACAGATTTTTTTAACCCTAACTCTAATTCTTTTTCTTTAGTTTGCTTCTCTAGTCTTATTTCTTCCTTTTTTCTCCCTATTCAATTGTAAATATGAGATTATGAGGCTGATCTCATTATCATTAGGTTTACAGAACAGAGTCCAGAATTTTAATATCTTAAAACATACACATAGCATTGATGATATAAATATGATTCTCTGTAGCCTATACTCTAAAGTTTGCATTGGTTGACTTACAATAAGAGTTTAATGTAGATACAAAACTGCATCAGATTAATATTCAATCAAATTATCTATGATTTAACATAAAATGCAATTCATTAGTTCTTTAAATCAAAATGCAGATGCAAACAGTGTAAAAGCCCTCCTATGCATGCAAGACATTTTCACTGCTACAATGTTGCATGAATATTTTATAATATTTTTTTAGACCAAGGCATACCAAACAAAATATTATGATTTTCGTGCAGTACTATCCAGTCTATACTAAAGTCGTTACACTCACCGTTCTGATCCAGAGAGAAGTCATCCTGCGCATAGCGGAATTTCTCTGGTCCACATGCAATGAAGACATCATCATCGCCAAAGAAATCTTGAAGGCAGGTCACCTATGAAGACAGGAGACAGCATGTATGAGACCCTTGATTATGTGGGTTCAGCTGGTAGATCAAGACAAAGACTCTGCAGCCACGTAGGTGAAGTGAGGCTGTACTGTGCAAAACAGGAACTTATATCAGCATGCAAACATGCTCTGAATGACAATACTTAGCAAGTACGATTTCACCACCAAAGTTTTCAAGGTTAGCAAGTTAAAATTTGCTTGTTAGCACTAAACACAAAGTAAGTGGAAGGATTATGGATGCTGTAGCACTGGAGAAGTAGTCAGTAGAAATACATATCAGAGGATAAAACTTATAAATGATTTTCAGTCTGAACCAAAGCGATGTACTGACCGACAGGTCAACACTGTGGTAGAACAACACACTTGTCTACATGTGTCTGTTTTAAATGCAAATCAAAGCTCTTACACTCCCAACTGAGAGACTTAAAGACACTCAGAGGGTACATTTGCCAGGAGGGAATCATCTGTTCATATCAATCTGATCATATGCCTGTTGGGAATTCATAATAAAGTGTGAATGCTAACTCTGAACTAATTATCCATTAAGACAGCATGAGGCACTACCAATGAATGATGTAGTCACAGGTTTGATGAAATGTAAGTAGTGTTAAAATGCTGATTACATTTAATTTAAATTTTTTGTCTTTACAAAATTGAATATCTCTAACTCGCAATGTAAAAATTGTTACTAGATTCGTCCCTGATTCAGATCTGCACCCAAATGTTTGGGGTTCTTCCCTGACCCATAATGCATCCTTCACTAAGTTTCATGGAAATCCATTGAATAGCATTTGTAAAACCTGCTAACTAATAAACAATCACTGATGGAAAGGCAGAGTAAAGAAGGACACAGTCTGCGGCTAAATTCTCTGAGTAAAATTAAGGTTGTGGTCGTCTGCCAGCCGAAGGATTTAGTCAGCCTCAGGTGGTGGTGGTCGGCCGCCTTTGTCTGTTGTTTGTCTTGTTAACATTCCTTTAGCTACAGTAGCTGCATTAAAAAAACACATTCACACAAAAGGCATGAAAAGACACAAACAGAGAGGATAAAGTTACACCTTCTCTGTAATGTTTAAAAGACTAAACCTCCGTCCCATGGGACTTTTCACTATAGCAGCTGTTGACACAATATGGCCTACTTAGTGGACAGATGTCTCTGGGCCACACCTTCTTTGCTGCTCTCCAATATACAGGCCCTGTTACCAGCTCAGACACGCCTATTAAAGCCATTCAACCTAAAAGCTCTTTCCCCTTTGGTTAAGGTTTTTTTTCTTACTTCCTGGTGTAAGCAAGATTTGTTACAGAGCATCTTTGTCTCATTTTCAGTTCGTCTTTCAACACCTTTTGAGAAGTTTTATCCTTTATCACTATAATGACTGGATCAAGTCACATTAATTAAATTGCAGGTGACTTTCTGGGCTTTTTTCTTACTTTTCTAAAAACAAAATTTCTCACAGACGGAGCCCATCTGTATGTTTCTGTGAGTGGCCTGAAAGATTATCCTTTGTTGGGACGTTCGCCAGGATAGTCAAGATGTATCACGGTTTCCTTTGTGATACACATCCAAACTATGAGCTGCAGATAATTTGGGAACACCGCACCCCAGCAGCTGCCCTGTTGGTTCTCCGTCCTGCTAGACAAGCTAAAAGTGTGCGCTGGTGACTCGGTGGCGTGGCATCCAACAGCTGTACCCTCTCTGCCTCCTACAATGTTCCCACAAGATACAGGCCTGGCAGATCCCCGCTGAGGTACAGAGATGGTGCTTTGACTCCAGGGATCAAAATCTAATTGGGTTTTTTGGCCAGGGGGTGAATTTACAGACTGCACATTTGTTTTTTTTTCTTTGTTCATTATCAAGAGATCAGATACATGTTACTTTCATTAGGTTAAACCGTTGTGCTGCAGTAACATCACCTGACAGTTAATCAAGATGAAAGCATTAAGAAAGGTTCCTTTTCCCTCATGGCCACCAGGGCGGAGGAGAGGAGATGGAAAACACAGGATGGAATGGGGCGAGAGGGTAGAGACTAGTCCATGTTTTAATGGCTTTAAGAACAGAGCTGATTAAAGGGATAAAGTGTTTAGCCGACAGACTGCTACCTTAATCTCGCTCTTAACAGAATCTCCATTAGAAATGATGATTAGCTTCTCTCTGTTGGTTTCTGATTGCAGAGGACCACTTGGCAGCACTGGTTCATTTTTTGCCACTCAGTGTGTCCAGAGAGTGGAATCAAAAAATGACACGTGTAATTTACACATGGAAACTCCGGAGTTTCTGACTAATTTTATGCAGTAGTACAGTGACATGGGATGCTTGTTTGTGGTGATGCTGGTTGCAGCTTTCTTTTATAAACTGTTAAAGTGACCTGCAGTTATTGAGTCACGGTAAATAAAGACCAGCTGCAGAAAACTGAAGCTGCAACACCACTGCTGCACAAAGAGCTGCTTGTCCAAAGTTCAGCAAAGCTCAACACAGTTACCCGAACTGGAGAATCAGCGCTGATGTCATGATCGACAATGTCACTTATGTTGATGAGTCCCAGGCTTTGCTGCTATAGAACGCTGGCCGTCTGTTTTTTCAAAGTTTATTACTATTAAACGTATCACATGTCCAAATACCACAAATTCAACAATGCATTTCCTTGGGCCCTTTACAATACACATGCCAAGACTGAATCCGAAGAGATAAACCACAGACAGAGGATGTTTGTCATCTCTTGTCTCATATATCTGGGAATGAAGGGTGCTTAGCGAGTGCTTACCTCCACCAAGGCCAAAACTCTGTCTCGCCATATGAAAGAAAACGTAGAAAAAAAATCCTGGATCCACCCGATTATCCGGATACGCTCCAACATTGAAAGGGTTCTTTCTTGGATCCACACCCCTCCACCAAATTTCATGCAAATCAGTTCAGTAGTTTTTAAGAGTAATCCTGATGACAGTCACACAGCAATGACAACCTTCTTGGCAGATGGAATTGGTCACACTTTAAAGTGCACTGTTAAGTTTAAGAGTCTCATTTACTTTTCATCGCTTTTAAACCAGATATTACTATAATGCAACAGGTCAGAAACCTTTGAAAGCATGGTGGTGCAGTTCATAAAAAGGCACCAGGCTCTGAACCTGGGTACATTCTAAGTTGTAAGAAGACAACCTCCGTTCTTTTCAGTCCAGAGCAACAACACTAAATCATATTTAGAAAATCCTATTAATCCAGTTACCCACAGTCATCACTTAAGATCCACATTATACAACGCAGGTCTCTGACCAGACCACTCTACATCATTAAACCTACAAATAATTCATACACAGTGAGTATCAAATGTCCTGCAGTCATTCAAACAATCATCCAAATCAGACCTGCATGTGCACAACCTTCTGATAACAAACATTATCATCAGGTATCATTTTCCTCTCGTGTGGAATCTGCCTATGAACAGTTGTTCTAAGCCTCGGTAAGTTTTGACATCTGTCTACAGTTGACAGACACACAGGAGAAAACCTGTTCGCTTTGCACGCAATGATATCGAGAGCAAAATGTCAGCGTCTCTTTGAAACGTGGCTGCAGTAAAGAAAGGGCAGGCCGGCTCGGGAACATTCGGATATAGGTTAAGAAGCATCCTCTCTCTCAATTTGAAAAGGTCAGTCAGCTGCAACAGCCACAGCCACCTGGCAACGGTATCGAGGAGAAAGACAATATGAAATGACATGATGTCATTTTGATTTCTGCAAGTCTTAGTGCATATTTACACCCTGTGCAAGCTTACAAACACGCGCATCAGAGCCAGTATGTATAAAGTGATTGATGTGTTTATCGTAAAAAAGCTTTTATGAAGAACTGGCTCCTTCCAGACTCCAGGTCCCCGTCCCACCCCCTGTCCCACCAAGCCCATCCCTAATCTCTGCCTCACCAGCTGTCAGGACCAAATGACCCCCAGGAAACCACTAACCCCTCCACCATGAGCTATATGCTCCCATCCACAACTGAATTATTCAGAGTTCCTTACAGACCGACTGACCAATCATCCACAGACGCAGACATTTGGTGATGGAGGTCATGTGGTCAGTTTCGAAATTGAACACTGAAGTTGGAGAGATAGTGGGTCACAAGTTAGTGTCATTTCTCTAGTTTGTCTCTCTGCTGCGATTTGAATGTTCACGAAACTACTGGAAATTTCCTCAGATGTGATGTTTCTAAATTTTATAGAATGCTACAAGGAAACAAGCAATTTGAAGCTCTGTGCACACTAATGTGGATATTTTGGAAAATGTACTTTTTCTCTTTTTCCTCAATTCCAAAGTTTTCAAAACCTCTGGTTTCTGTGTATGTGCGGCACAGCTACAACAATAGTTTATAACGTAACAGTCATTATGGGTTGGGCTGACCAAACCATAATCGTTAGAGGAGTCTTTCTTTTTGCAGCAGAAATCCAAGGCCTCTGTCTTTCTCCTCTAGTTTTATGCTGTTAATGACATCAAATATGATGGGAAATATGTGTTGATAATGTGCGGTGGTGCCAGAGAGAGGTGGGAGAGGAGCAGGGAAAATGGGCAGATCTACAAAGTGAATAATGTACATCGTTAAAATAACTTATGGTGTGCTAAGAAATATTTTGTGCATGTTTCTATATTTAATCTTTAATATCAATTCGATTTTTTGACCAACTTTGGTGACAAATGTACAAATTGTTGTTCGAGGTATGAGGCATTTGAAGATGTTTTAAAGAAATGACATCAGAGTGAGTAAAAATACCAATGTGGCGCTGGTGGACCATTTCCATAGTGGAGTTTAAAAAAAAATTCTGTCTCATATATGGAATAATATGTTTATATTATTGTGGAGGAAAACATTTCAGGTGCAGCTAAGTTAATTTGCGTTTGTGTGAAGGGGAAACATTCAAACAGGGCTCATGTGTCATTTGTCTTCCATGTACAGATGACCTGTCTTCAGCAGAAATGAATTAGTGGAGAGAAACTGGACCTCAGGGC